GCACGCAGCATGACGCAGCAGTGAGGATCACCGCTGGCTGGCTGTAGATCAGTTGTCAGCGCAGCTGCGTCTGACAGACACCCGGGCCGTCATTATCTCACACGGACAGACCCTCTGCTGGCGAAACATGTCGATTCAGAGAACGATTGTGACGTTTCTGAACTGTGATGGTATTTGTGATTATCATTAAGGGTTTGTCCTTGGCAGCAGCTCTGGATGTACAAGCACAAAGTCTCAAATCAAACTGTTCAAGTCTCAAGTGATTTGTGGGTAACCTTTTAGAGGATCCTGAGCCAGATCTAGAAAATTAGAGACTTGGGGATGCACTCCTTTAACTTGACCCAGTAACCACACAGAATACCCTAGCAACCGCATATGAATGAACTAAAAACCCCTCAGAACAATCTAGTATGAAAACACCTACAGATCAACTTCTGAAGGCATGCTTTATAGTTAAAACTATAATAGTTAGCTATGGTTCTAATTAATATTTTGAATTAGTTTTCATTTTCATATTTTAATTTTAGTAATCGTTTTAGAAATTTTGTTTTGTGTTTTTGTCATTTTTATAAGTATGTTTCTTTTTCTTTCAGTTTTGGTTTGTTTTATATATATATCCTCCTGAGAACCAGAAATAAAAAGCTTTGTGAATTTAGTATTTTTTCATGTCATTACATTGTTTAGAGCATAAGAAAAAAATGGTAAAATAACATTTTTGAAAAATTACATTTTATTCCTAAGTTATGCTATGTCCTCTGTAGAGGACACCATGACTCAGTTTTTCTAAAAATAAAATGACAAGAGTAGACATGAAAAGGTCAAATCAATGGGAATTTCTTTTAAATCACCAATCAATTTTTAGGTTTCAGGATTTCTTTATACCTAACTTTGTTTAAGGATGGTTATCAACTATGTTATAAAATATATAAAATTATTTGATATACTAATTTGAAAATGAATCAGATTTAAATTATAATTACAAAATATTATCATATTTCCATAACGATGTACAATTTTATCACTAAATTAATGTCAGCCATTTTTAAAAACCAAGGAGAGGGAGTGGTCATGCTGAAACATCCAATCATTTGGTGTCTCTGGAAAGCCCTGAATGTGCTCTGTACAGGACATCCAGACTTAAACCTGTGACATGTGAGGTCTCAGAGAAATCACTCAAATATAATGTCCACTACAGAGGACAAAACTCCATAGCTGGGTCTCAGGAGGATAAATATATATATATAAGATTTTATTTAGCAATATAAAGCGTGTGTGTGTGTATAAAATAGTAACAATTTTAGTTTTTATTCATATTTTGTTTTTTATGCATATTTTTCATGTATATCATTTACATTTTATTTAGAAATATAAAATGTATATTCAATTTGAGCAAACATTTTAGTAATTTTGTTTCGTGCTTTTGTCATTTTTAATAGTTTTTGTTTTTTTTATTTCAGTTTTTGTTAAAGTAAATGAAAATTAGACATTACAAGTAACAAAAATTTAGTTTATGTATTTAGTTTTAGTAAAGCCTGAAATTAGGTGCAACTTTGGCAACAACCTTCAAACTAAATCATTCACTAATTGATATTTTATAGTAATTTAGTTATTTAAATCTTTAGAGAACATGGATGTTCATTGAGCAGAACACTAATTGTATCAGTTGATATGACTTTGGTTAAATCTCTGAGAAGCAGGTGAACACAGATCTGCAGGATGAAGCTCAGGAGGGTTTCCTGCACTGATGTTAATAATAATGCAAATCGGCCCACAGGGTTTTTACAGCACAGGGTCATCTGTCATCTGTGTCTCTCCTTTAGAAATGTTCCTCCGGTTCCTCATTAGCTGCTTCAGACTGAACCTCTAGCCGCAGATCACAACATTAAATTCAAACTTTACTTCTGGCCACCGGTGAAACGCAGTCAGGCATTAAATTGGCTCTAAAAAAATATTACTCCAAAGAGGGATTCTAAAATATATTTTATAAATAATATATATAACTAATACAGTGAGAGGAAAAAAAAGTGAGAAAAAAAAGGGAAATATATATTACATACAAGTACTGTATAAAATATGAATCATTTTAAAAATATAAAATATTTATATAAATAAATTATATTTTATATATGCTATATAAAAACGATTAAATGTATATTTTATTCTTTATATAAAAAGAACATTTAAAATAAAACGGCTATTAACACTGTGAGGAAAAATGTGAGAGAATTTCCTTTTAAATATTTCAAAATACGTATATTTCAATTACTTATATAATAACTGTTTATAATTAATAACTTTATATTTTAAGCACCAAAAATGATGTCACAGTTTATATGAATATTTTGAATTGGTTTACAAAAACAATATAATAATTTATATAAATACAAGTACTGTAATTTACGTAAACATTTATATAAAGAGTAATATATAATCTATACATTATATCCTTTATACAATGATAAATAAGTAAGTAAGTAAAGTTAGTAAATAAATAAGTTGTGGGTCAGAGGTCTGATACTCAAACTGAGCCCATGGGACAGTCAAAGTGTTGGTTTCCAGGAATAAGTTATTATTATGCAATTTGTGCAATACTAGCAGTACAAAATTGCAAAAACACCATTGGTTGAGTCAATGTTGGCACGTCATGTTTAGTCGGATCGCTCAAACAAACAGACTGCAATTCAGTTTGACACCACTAGCAGAACATACACATGTTTCTCAGAAGACTTCTCAGGAAATCTTTTTAAAAAATGGGTTCTTGACCGTACAAGTCAAGCTCTCATTTACAGCCTGCGTTAAACGTAACGGTGTTCAGACCATTGCTGGAGATGACTGAACATGACGCTTTCATAACCTGTTTTCAAACCAACACCTGAGACAGAGAGAGCAGACAGTATTAAAGCCTGTAATCACATTATCCAAACCTGATTTACAGTCGGCTGTGAATGGAAACCAGCATGTTCTACACGTTTACACACTCAAACCTGAGACCAAAAATTAAGCACAAGGCACTGAATCAAACATGCACAATTTAATGGACAATTCAAGAGTTAAAGGTAAAGATGCACAAACTAACAGTCTGGCTAATTTACAAGCTCATTTGATTGACAGCACTCTCATTATAATGGTAGGACATCTTCAATTATCACGACTGGGGGTTTGAACCTATAACTTATCAATTAGCAGCCCAGTTTTTAACCACTTATTCACACGATTTTCAAAGACGTCGCATCACTGTTGGTTTCACACTGAACGACTATCTGGGGTAGCATTCAGTTGTTGCTGTGTTCACATTGCACGATGGAACGATGACAGGAGGTTACACACTGCATGACTTTACAATAGGAAGAATAATCGATAACTCTGTCTGGCGCAGGGTTGCCAGGTTTTAGCTACAAAACCCGCCCAATTACTACTCAAAACTAGCCTGAAAATAGCCCAATTGCTTTCGAAGGGGTACCCCAGTAAAAATCACATTCGGGGGGAAAATACACATTTATTTGGCGGGGTTCTCCTGGTACAATTCACATTCCAGGGCCTAAATATCACGTTATTGGGGTCACTTCAACCTGCTGACATAAAAAACAAC